CCCTTCCGACCCTACCAACTATGAAACTATAAGGGGCCTCAATCTGCACCCCCCCCTTTCTGCCTGGATATGCCCTTTCTCCTCATAAACTTACCTACAGGGAGCTGCTCTCCAGGCTGCCTGGCTATGTTCCTGGCTATGTGCATGTTTGCAGGCACATGCATGCACGTGGCACCCCTGCGTCCTGCTCCTGGCAAGCCCAATCAGCCCCTTGTAGGCTGAAACCCTGCCAGCCTGCAAAATGAAACCCGCCATTTCCTGCAGATCCCTGTACGACACTGAAAATCCAGGATAAATGCTGTCCCAAAGTTGTGCAGCCTGGGACCAGGACATGAGGTTCCCATTCCGGGACTAATTGCTGCCCAATTAGAGACAGATGGTCATCCTACTGCTACTTGTTCCTCCATCAAATCTGGATGAGGCCCATAAGAAGCCCCATGGTCTGGATCCAGCCAGCGAGGAGGCATGAATTTGACACTCCTGCTCTGAAATATCTACTACTTGCCACTTGCCAATACTGGGAAATAGGATATTTAATTTGATGGACCACTGGTCTGACCTGGGATGGTACTTCTATGCTCATGGCAGCCACCATGAAGCACAGAGTACCTTTCATGGACAAACTTTTTTCCATTACCAAAAAAACACATGAGGTTCTAATATTAAAAAGAACATAGCCCTTAAGTGAGAAAATGTGTTAAAGGAGGGCTTCTCAGACAGGCAGTTTGTTCTATGTCACCAACCCAGAAAAGTCACAAAGACATCATTTTTTAAAGTTTGCAGAAAGTGTTTAATTTTATTACAGTATGCTAAATGTTTCTAATCTCCCACTTTCCCTCACCTCTGACAAGCCATTTATATCTTGTTCCCTGCACCTAAGTTGCTGTGCTTAAAAGAAAGTTTGTCATAGGCAGCCCTGTTCCTAGGTGAATATTTTGTTTGACAATTCAAGCACTGAGCTCTCTATTAATTATCCTGACTCTTGTATTTATGTCTTTAGTGTCTTTTGCTGCAAATTACAAGTACAAATGAATTTTATGCACAGAAAGTACAGAATCATTAAGATGGCTTTGTCCTCCAAGTGACAGTAAGCTCTGATGATGCATTAGAAAAACTTACCATGAGCACAAGGTGCTACAGCAATCATTCTTCAAAAGGCAACAGATGCTCAAAAGAGGGATTTGGATATTTTTATATGTAAGTGAATGACACACCACCAGATTCACAGGGGAGAATGTTACCATAAACCAACGCTTCTCAAGTCATCTCTCCAGTACTGGCTGCATTAGACAACCCTGGGCTTACTAGTGTAGGACTCCTGCCACCTAATCTCAGCTAGGTATTTTCTTCTAGGGAATCTTTGTGGCATCACCAGGGGCCACTACCCCTGCAGTTTTCACCCCCCTGTGGTGTAACACATAGCCGTGACATGAGTTTTGCTTTCAAGAATTTGGGGTGCAGTTCCCCCATAGCCCTGCACCGATCTTCTTGAAACTTGGCAGGTTTCATGCTCTCATCAGAGGCTATCACCCCTGCAAGTTTCATCCAAATAAAACAAAAAACAACAAAGTTATAGATATTTCCTTGATTCCCCATTATACCTTATGGCCGGATCTCCGAAGCGGCTCCAAAGCTTTTCCAAAGCAGTTCGGAAGCTCTGAACCACTTCAGAAAGCCTAACGAAGCCAGCGCTTCGATCTGAACATGCTGCTTTGGACACCAAAGCGTCTGAAGCTTCTCTGGATCTGAAGCATGGTCCAAAGCCTCACACAGCCCTAATCCCTGTCCTGCCTCCATGTCTATAGGAAACTCACTGTAACCAGTATGTCCTTGTTCTGATTAGAATGTGAAATGTTTACATTATTCTCTGTGGGGGGGTTTATATCCATTGAAAAACAAATGTTGAGCTTACTCTTATGCCTTCTTCTCCTGTTATCATTTTAATATTTTTCTAGGTGATTTCTTCTAGGTTCTCTCTCAGCTATTCACCTGACTTTCCACACTGTCCCATATTGATCTGAATCAAAGTGCCAAATATATGCACCGACACACTTTCCTGCCACAAACCCCTTTATCATTTCTTCTGTTTTAAAAGCATCATAAACTTGAAAAAAAAATCACATTTTTCTGCCCTTTGAAAAGCTTTTGCTACTAGGAATATTATAGATTCCGGAAACAGATTCACGGAGAGAATACAAATCTGTTTTCCTGAGAGTTGTTTACTTTGAGCTTTCTGAAGCAGGAACTGTGCTATATGTATGTCTGTACACTGCCTAGCCTGATATAACCTTGGCTGATGTCCCTTGGCAGTGTGCAAGACAAACAACATCACAACAACAATAATAGGAAATATTCAGGGTATTTTGTGTTTTTCTCTGTCCACTTAGCAAATTAGGGTTCATCCCCAGTACAGCCACAACTGTGATTGTGTAGCTAGCTAAAGTCATGTTCACTCTAACTAATTAGAAGTAAGAAATAAGATGTATTTGCATCTGAGCTGCAGCTTTTCTGCCATCAGAGCTGTATTTGCTCATCCCCATCTACCTTGCTATTGTGCCCCAAGGAAAACCTCCCCACACAAGAAATTCCTGCCCAGAAGAGCATTCCATCTTTTACTCTTCTGTGAAATATGAAACACTATAACCAGAAGGAAATATGGCTACATCCTGCTTGACCCCAAACAACTTTGAAGTAAACAGACTCTTCCAACTTTTCTCTGAGCCCAACCTACATAAAATGAACTGTGCCAAACAAGAGATTTTATCACACCTTTAACTCTCCTATGAAATATGAACTTTAATTTCTACCTAGGAGAACTTTTACAATCTTTTCTCCTATGCCTGAAGAAGGGTGTTTGTGCCCGAAAGCTTGCAATTAAAGACATGGTTTTTTTTGCAAAAATCTAGTTGGTCTAATAGAAGATATCACCTCTACAATGAGTTCTCATTCCTTTTATCTCTAGACCACTACGGCTACAACCTGGAAACCTGACCCAAGGAAAATCTAGCATTTGCCTCAGTAACGACTTGGGGAAAGGTGGTTCCTGGCTATTGATAAAGGTGAGAGGTGTATTAATTATAAAATAACTTATATGTACACAGCTCCTTTCAGCTGAAAGCATTTCTCAAAGTGGGGGCCAGCTCCAATTGGCAAAACTCTCAG